AATTTTTAGGAAACTGCAGAGCATAAGGTAAACATACAAAAATTAGGTGTGTTTCTATAGGCCAGCAATGAGAAATCTGAAAAAGAAATTGAGAACTAATTTTGTTTACAAGAGCATCTAAGATAATAAAACACCTACTGGTTTAACAGTAGACACATTAATGGAACACAATTGACAGTCTAAAACCACACATACACTTACTGATTTTTTTTTTTTTAAAAAAAACAACACTGAGTCATTATTTTCTTCTTACTGGGGGTTTTTTCCAAGGATGTTGGGAAAACTGATTTCCACATGTTGAAAAATGAAACCAGATCTTTTCCTCACACTTTACAGAAAACCACATTCAACATGCATTAGATAACTAAATGTGCACACTCTTCTTGTGATGTGCTGATGAGTCAAAACTGATTCTTAGTTGACCCTCCAGCACATTTATGCTGTAAATCACATAAGAGAAGACTGAATCTCTATCCTGAGAAGCAGCAAGTGGATTAGAACTGTCAGCTTTTTGGGGTGGCAGTGCAAACCATTATCCACTAGGCTGTAAGAGTTTCCTAATGTGCACATTAAAACAACAACAACAACAAAAAACTTAACAGATTAAGCATGAGCAACTCTGTTAGGGGCCAGCTTTCCCAGCAACTTCATACTTCTTTATTTTCTGACTCCGGTTCTCTGCACATTTTTTATAATACTTTGCTTTGTCTTCCTGAATTGCCCTTTTAAATCTTAAGTCTTTAAACTGACACCTTCTTTACCACTTTAAAGAGGTTCTTGACAGCTATTGTTGCTGTTGTTATGTGCCTCATTGAGTCTCTTGCAACTCATAGTGACCCTATGGACAACAGCCCTAAACCCTACTCTATCCCATGCCAATCTCACAGTCTCTGACAACTCTCATCCCGATTACCCCAGTCACTGAATCAATCCACCTCATACAGGGTCTTCCCCTCCTGTGCCTGCCCTCCACCCTCCCAAGCATGATGTCCCTCTCCAAGGACCTGACCCTCTTTACAACATGTCCAAAATATGTCAGACAAAGCCCCAGAATCCTTGCCTCCAAGGAGCCACCTGGTTTAACCCTTTCCAGGATGAATCTGTTTGTTTTTCTAGAAGTCCATGGTACTCTCAACACTCTTCTCCAGCACCACAGCTCAAAGGCATCAATTCTCCTTCCACCCTCCTTGGTTACTGTCCAACTCTCTGATGCATAACAAGTGATAGCAAAGACCATGGCCAGTATCAGATGCACCTTAGTCTCCAGAGAGACACCACTGTTCTTCAGTACTTTGGAGAGGTCCCTAACTGCAGACTTGCCCATGGCAATACACCTTTTAATATCCTGGCTACTGGTGCCAAGAGTGTTGACTGTGAAGCCAAGCAAACTAAAGCTATGAACAATCTCAATCTCTTCACCATCCATCCTGATGCTGCCAATTGGTCC